ATTACACCTTAAAGAACTAGAAAAAGAAGAGCAAATTAAATAACAAAGCTAGTGGAAGGAAGGGAAAAATAAAGATAAGAGTGGAGATAAATTAAATAGAGATTGTAACAATAGTAGAGAAAACAAAAGAAACCAAAATTTTTGCTAGAAAGACTTAATAAAATGAAAATGGAAGTCAGGCTAATGCTACTGACCTTACAGGAATAAAAAGGATTATAGAGTAGTACTATGAGAAATTCTATGCCAACACATTAGATTGTCCACCTAGATGAAATGGACAAATTCCTAAAAGCACAAAATTACCCAAGAATATACAGCAAATCTAAAACTATTTTAAAACCATTAAAGAGATTGAATTAGTATGAAAACACCTCCCAATGAAAAGTTCAGGCCCCGGTAGATTTACTGGTCGATTTTACTAAACATTTACAGAATTAACACTAATCCCCACACTCCTTAAACAATAGAAGAGGAGGAAACCCTTCCTAACTGATTCTAAGATGCCAGCATTCCCCTAGAGTCAAGTCAGTTAAAGACAAAACAAGAAAAGAAAATTATAGACCAATGCCTTTTCTGAATATAGTTGTAAAAAAGTCTCAATAAAATACTAGCAAACTGAATCCTGAAACATATAAAAAGAATTATACACCATGATCAAGTAGGATTTATCCTAAGAATTGTGGTATGGTTTAGCATAGAAGTATCATTGTAAGACATCACATTAATAGAATGAGGGAAAGAAAACACATGATCATCTGAATTGATGCAGATAAAAGCCTTTCACAAAATCTAAGAGTCTTTCATTATAAAAACATTCAACAAACTGGGAATAGAAAGGAACTTCCTCACCACAATATATCAAAACCCCACAGCAACATAAAATCCAGTGGTGAAAGAATGACAGCTTTCCCCTTTATAACAGGAGCAAGACAAAGATGACTACTCTTGCCACTTCTATTCAACATTGCCTTGGAAGTGCTAGCCAGAGCAGTAAAAGCAGGCAAGAAAAATAAGTTAAAGGCTCCAAATAGATAAGGAAGAATGAAAACTATCTCTATTTGGGATGCAAGAGTTAAATGGCACAGGGAGCAGATTACAATCATTGTAATGAAGCAAAGCATATGATTTGTTGAATATAAAACTGACGATCTGCTCTGTAAACCTTCATACAATTCACAACAAAAAGTTTTAAAATAAACTATCCCTATTTGCAGATGACATATCTTATGTGCAGAAAAATCCTATCACACAAGACAACTATTAGAACTATAAATGAATCCATCAAAGTTACAGAATAAAGGATTAATACACAAAAATCAGTTTATTTCTATATACTAACAATGAACAATACAAAAAGGAAATTAAGAAAGCAATTCCATTTATAGTAGCATCAAAAAGAATAAAATACATAGAAATAAATTTAAAGAAGGAGGTGCAAGACTTACACATGGAGAACACTACTGAAAGAAATTAAAGACCCACATTAATGAAAAGACAGCCTGTGTTCATGAATTGGAACACATAATATAGTTAACATGGTAATACTCCTCAGAGCTATCTACAGATTGAATACAATCACTGTTAAAATATTAATTGCCTATATTTTTTTTCAAAACTGAAAAAGCCAAAACTAAAATTCACTTGGAATAGCAAAGGACACAAACAATATTAAAAAATAAGGACAAAGTTGGAGGACTCTTTCCCATTTCAAAATTTACTATAAAGCTACAGTAATTAAAACAGTCCACCACTCATCTGTCAGTTTGTCGTACCGTGGTGGCTTGTATGTGGCTGTGATTCTAGAAACTATGCCACCAGTATTTTAAATACCAGCAGAGTCACCCAGGGTGGACAGGTTTCAGCTGAGCTGAAGAGGAAGAAGGAGAAATGAACTACTTCTGAATATTTAGTCGCTTATGAATAGCAGTGGAACACTAACAGCACCATAATATTGAACACTGAAACATGAAGAGGAGCACCAGAATAATGTCAGCTATTGTTGTTGTTGTTGTAAAGTGCCATTGAGTTGGTTAAGACCCATAACAACCCTGTATGGGATTTCCAAGGAGGGACTGGTGAGCTTGAACCACCAAAGTTCAAACCGACTTTGTAGTCCAGCGTATTAACCCACAGCGCCACGTTAGGACTCATGGTTAATCAGCTGTGGTGCCCTAAATAAGCCACTCAGGTTGGAAGGTAAATCAAAATATGCCTGGGGAAGAGCTGCCTCTGAAAGTTGAATTCACCATGATGACATGAACGGAGTAAAGCTTTCAGAATCTTCATTTGCTGATGGGGCACAACTTAAAATGAGGAGAAACTTCTGCAAACATCCAATAATAATCGGAACATGGGATGTATGGAAATATGAATCTAGGAAAATTGGAGGCTGTCGAAAATGAAGTTGAATACATAAAGATCTATATATACTAGGCATTATAGACTGGTATTGGCCATTTTGAATCTGACAATCACTTGGTTTACTATGATAGGAATGAAAAATTGAAGAGGAATGGCATGACATTCATTATTAAAAAAACATTTCAATGTCTATGTTGAAGTATAATGCTGTCTGTGATAGGATAATATTCATATGCCTGTAAGGAAGACCAGTTAATATAATTTTTTTTCCTTAAATGTTTTATTGTGAATTATGTGATAGTTTACATGGGAGAACATTAGTTTTACATTCATTCTATCGTATATCGTCTCATTGCCATGGTTACAATCCCCTCCATGCAATCCTTCCCCTGTGCCCCCCAGGTCTTCAGCACACTCGCTTTCCCTCTCTGGATCTAAAGTCTCCAGCTGCTCCATCGCTCCACATCATCATCTCTGGCTCCAGTTCAGGCATCACTGCTTCTCTGGGTAGGGTCCCGCTCTCTGCTCTTCTCCCTTGATGGTCCTAGGGACCTCCACTCCTAGACTGAAAAGTTAATCACTCCCCTCCTTGCTATAAAACGTCTACCCTTACATTTCCAACCCTCACAATCAGTCCTGAAAACAATTATTCACTATTGTATCACAAGAGACCCGTATGCATTTCATTGCATCAGCCCTGCCTAGTCAGATTGAATACCACTCACTGGAGATTCTACCTTCCTCTAGGCCCTCTGGATCTAGGTTCCCTCTTGAAAGCTTGTAAGTCAGTCACTTCTTGCCTTTGTAGCCCCCCAACCCCCATTTTGGGTAGCCAATGTCCAAGTTGCCATCCCTGTCTACTCTGTGTGTGGAGGGTGTGGGAATGATTCTTGCTGTAAGGACTTGTTCCCTCTTTTGAGCTACTGCTTCCATAGGTGTAGGTCAAGTTCATCAAATTATATGAGAATACTTTTTTTTTTCCCTCTTCTTTTTACTTCTGGTTGAGCTCTGATCATCCAATCATTGAAGCCAGGACAAGTGGGTATTATCTGCAAGTGTGGGTGTTCTTATGCATATGCCCTCTCTTCTTATCAGCTGGACACTTCACTCACCACTCTAGTCTTCTGTGGCTATGTCACTGACTCTGGGCCCAAGAGTCCCCAGGTCTTGCCACACTGCTGGCCAACCAGGGGAAGACCAGTTAATATAATTATTATTCAAGTTTATGCACTAACCACTAAAGCTAGTGATGAAGTTGTGTGGCACTGTAGGATCAGCACTGAACTGACAACCACAGAGTTGGCAGTTCAAACCCACCAGCTGCTCCTGAGAAACCCTATATAGGGACGCTGTGAGTAGAAATGGACTTGATGGCACTTAACAGCAGTAACCAACTTCTTCAGTCTGAAATTGATCAAACATACAAACAATATGCTTTGATAATTACTGGCTGTTGGAATGGAAAAGTTGAAACAAAGAGGAAGGATCAGTACTTGGAAAATATGGCCATGGTAAAAGATACAATGTTGGAGATCTCATGATAGAATTTTGCAAGACCAATGACTTCTTCATTGCAAATACCTTTTTATGTAAAACAAGATAAGTCTACACATAGACCTCACTACATGAAATACACAGAAATCAAATTGACTACATCTGTGGAAAGAGATGGTGTAAAAGCTCCATCAGCAGCCAAAATAGGGACAGGGTCAGACTATAATTTACTCATATGCAAGTTCAAACTGAAGCTGAAGAAAATGAAAACAAGTCCACCAGAGCCAAATTATGAGCTTGAATATATTCTTATTTGACTTTAGAGATCATCTCAAGAACAGATTTTATGTATTAGATACTAATGACTGAAGACCAGAAAAGCTTTGGGATGACATTAACGTTATACAGGAAGAAAGCAAAAGGTCATTAGGAAGACAAAGACCAAAATGGATGTCAGAAGGTACTCTGAAATTTGTTGTCTAAAGCAAATAGAAGAAATGAAGAGGCAAAAGAGCTGAATAGAAAATTTCAAAGGTCAGCTTGAGAAGACAAAGTCAAATACAGAAATCAGATGTGTGTTTACCAGGGGCTGGGGAGACAGAGGAATATAGAGTAATTGCTTAATGGATACAGGATTTCTGTTTAGGGTGATGAAAATTGGCTGAAAGTAGATAAAATGGTGATATTTGTACAGCATTATGAATACTTAATGCCACTAACTCATTTACCTCATGATGGCTAAAATGATAAGTTTCATATCATGTGTATTTTACCACAATGAAAATATGAATGAGATATAGAAGTTCTTAAGTGCAGTTATTGCATTATACTAAGTTAACTATACTAACATACTTGTGCTAAATATCTTAAAAATACACTATATGTATACTGTGTGTGTTTTAAATGCATAGAAAATAGAACGTCCTTAACAGACAAAAAAATTGTGATAAAGATGTGTAGATAATGTAACCAAGGAGATGTGGTGTAGCACTGTGGGGTCAGCACTGGACAGCTAACCACAAGGTTGGCAGTTCAAACCCACCAGCTGCTCCTTGGAAATCCTACACAGGGTTGCTATGATCAGAACTGACTCGACAGCACATGACAACAACAATGTAATCAAGTTTTTTACTTCTTCATTTCAGGCAATTATACAGTTCTGGCTCCAGAAGGGTGTTGATGGCTTCAGTTTTGATGCTGTTAAGTTTCTTCTAGAAGCAAGACATCTGAGAAATGAGATCCAAGTGAATAAGTCGCAAAGTTTGGTAAAGTTTTGTTTTAAAGTTTTCCCCCCCTTCCTCTTCTCTGAAAATGTCATCAGAATGCTTTCTCTTCTAGCTCGAGACACCAACTACTAGGGCCAAGCTCTGTTGTGTCTGTAGAATGCACTTTGAATAACTTTCTTTAGGATATACTTATACAAAGGAATTCTGAATGCATATGTCCAGATGTTTGCTTCTAATGGTTCTCTCCAGAGTGAGGGCTCCTTGAAGAGTCCCTCAAGTGACAAGGATCCTGAGAACATGGACAGTGTATTCTACTACTCAACTGTGAATTTGTCATACTGGGGTGACTTATGTGTTGCTGTGATTCTGGAAGCTGTGCCACAGACATTTTAAATACCAGCAGGGACACCCATGGTGGACAGTGTTCACCAGAGCTTCCAGGCTAATAAGAAGACCACTAAGAAGGCCGTCTACTCCCTGTGGTTTTGCCTTCTCACTGAAGCTGTGTTGAGGAGGCCTCAACTTTCCAGGATCTTTTATAGTAATTTAAGGATGCATATTAAAGTGCAGTGGCTCCATAGGGTAACACTGGGCTGCAAGCCACAAGGTCAATAATTCAAGCCCACTAATTGCTCCATGGATGAGACTTTCTGCTCTGCAAAGATTTAAAGCCTCAGAAACTCTATACAGGGTTGCTATGAGTCAGAAC